CACACACACACACACACACACACACATATTTCGAGTTCCTCCAATTCCTCCAAGGACCTGCCCGGACTGAATTTCACTTTTGTAAATTACCCTCAGCCCCTTCAGTGTTTTATATTTAGTAAGAAGTCAATCCACATTTGTTGAATTTAAAATAGAACCAGGAAAGAGAACTCGTTGGGAAATGAGAAGTAGAGACCCCTGACACAGACGTGGATAGGATAAGGGGACGAAGTCAGAGATGAGAAGGCTGGGCCCGGAGAAGGAGTCTGCTGTTCGTTTTCCCAAAAGACAACAGGGAATTTTTAGAGGAGATGGTAATATACATAGAGCTGTACTTTGTGTATTTTTTGAGAGAGAGATTTTTGCTCTAGGCTGCAAGTGCTCACTGGAGAGACAGAGAGAAAGTGAGAAATCAGCCTGGGAGGATGACCATGCCACAACCCCTTCTCCTCCATTCTCCTCTTGGGGTTTGGGGCATGCACACACATGCACCCAGCATGAGTTTCAAGCCACCAGGTCCCAGACCTGACCCGCAGTCTGCTATGTGGGAGTCCAGTGCTTTAACCACTATGCCACCTTCTGGCCCTTAGAGTTGTACTTTTACATGATTAATCTGGGGCCAGTAAGTGGCACAGAGGTTAAGGCAGCTGTACCCTACATGGTCTACACACGATTCAAGTCCCTGACCCAGCAACCTGAAAAGCACGCTGGGTGTGTGTGCGTGCATGCCCCAAATCCTGAGAGGAGAGTGGAGGAAGAGCGAGTGTAGTGTGGCCATCCTCCAGGAGGTGATTGCTCACTCTCCCTCTCTCCCAATCTCTCTCTCTTTCCAGCAAGCACACTTGCTTTATGACAAACTGCAAAAACAAAGAAACAAAAAGGTTACTCTTCCAGCCATGTGTAGAACGGATTAGAATGCAGAGAATGGAGATGGAAGAGGCCAGAGAAGAGGCTGGCCATATTTCATACATGAAAAGTAAAGCGAGGGAACCAGCAGTTAGTGTAATGGCTATGTCGCTGGATTCCCACGTAGTCGACCGCGGTTCGTATCCCGAACCCGGTGGCTTAAAACCCACATCGGGCGCGTGTGCGTGCGTATCTAAGATCCCGAGAGGAGAATGGAGGAGAAGGGATTGAGGCATGGCTATCTCCCCTGGGGGGTGATTCCTCGCTTGTCCCCCTGTCTCTTCCTGTCGGGCGAGCGCACGCGCCCTATAGGGAAAAACCTCTCAAAAAAAAAAAAAAAAGTAAAGTGAGACCAAGCTGGTGCCATGGCCTTGAGGCTAGAGATGAGTGGCACGGAGCGTGTGGTGGTGAAGGGAGCCATTTCTCTCCTGCATAAAACCAGAACAATCCCACGCACCGGCATTCTGGGGGAGGAGGTGGAAGGCAGGGACCTGCGTTGGGCTCCTGGGTTTGCCACGTGCTGGTTGGGCTCAAGGTTATGTCCATGGAAATCGCTAAGCCTCAATGTCCTCTTTCCCCAAAAAGGGACACTATGACCTGAAGAGGCAGCTGTGGGGATTAACTGTGACACTGTCTGCAGCCATACCTTCCACACCAGAGGCCCTCGGCCCTCACCCCTCACGGTTGTCATGATCATCCTCAGGAGTTGAATGTGACAAATGCGAGCACAGGCAACCTGGTTTTTTTCTTTTGTAAAGACTTTAATTTTTAGATTTTAATTTTTAGTTTTAGATTTACAAAAAAATGGAGTAAGCAGCATGGAGAGTTCTCATAGACCTTGACACCCGCACCCAGGTTCTGTTACTAGTGACCCCCACATTAGCATGGTGTGTGTGTCACACTTAGGGAATTATACGTGCTGAGCCTCTCTAATGTGAACCTTCATGTGATGGATCAGTCAAAACAATGTAATGCAAAGTTTTGTATAAAATTACCTTCTATGTGGGGACCAGCAGTTGGCATAATGGCTATGTCGCTGGACTCCCAGGTAGTCAACTGCAGTTCTAGTCCCAGGCC